CTGGGTTTGTCTCTTTTTTGAGCCACAATTCATTCACACATAGTCCAAAAAAATATGTTAACACCTACGTGAAGACGGTGCTGGCGTATCGGCGCATACTACTGAAAGAGGTTATACAGGCCCAAGCGGGACAATATTACAATTCACAAAGATACAGCATGTTACTTTGGGAAACTGTCATGTGGGATTCGAGCTGTTTTTCCAACAAAAAAAATATCATCTTGCATTAATAATGTTTTCCTCCGGGGGTGTTTTAGATTATTCTCTGCGGTATTCAAATAAAGAAGTTATTCGATGATGTTTGTTTATTGAGACGGGAGGGGGTGGGGATGGGGGTTATGCAAATGGAAACGGCATTTTTATAAGGTTTATTTCCAGTGGAGTATATTTAAAGGAAAGCAAATGCATGTAGGCCGAGGCTACCAAAATAAATCTTCAGTTCCGGTATCCTCGATGTAGGCTAACCTTCAACCTCTAACATGAATCTAAAAGTACTAGTGAATCGACGTTGTCACGAGGAACAGGACTGCGTATATGATACTGTAAGACTTCCTAATTTAGGATGTATGAACAAAGAACAATCTATAGTTGGTTCACTTTCCTCCGATTGCAATTAAATCACGATAAAAGGAAATCATTCTGTTTAATTAATCTTCTCAGATCTTTGCATTCAGAAGTTGGATGAACAACAGAATCTAAAAGCCTATTAGAAAGGTAACATCCAACTAACGTTCCGACACATTAAAAAAAAAATATAAGCCTAAATCGGGTCCAAAAAATAATACTGGATCAACAAGATAGACCTAAAATATTCAAAAGTTGACATATTTTCTTCAACACTACACTTAAATGTTCACCTGAGAAACACGACTCAAGAGACGGGATGAGTTTATTTTAGAGACTCACGTGGGGCACGTGAAGATTATGTCTAGACAGTGATGGTATGAAATCTTCAAGCTTACTCTGCAATTTGGGGGCAGGTTGGTGTCGCTGTCTCAAAATTAGCAATTTGTAGGCAAGATTACTGAAAGTAATTTCTTTTAGTGATCCTGTGTTAGATGGTTCTAGTGTAGGGCCAAACGAGAAAAAGGTTTTTTTAATGTCTGTTACCAGGTCAGGATTTTTGCAGAAAAAAAATAATTCTTGTTTGCTTTTCTTGCCTGCACAATTGTCATGCAAAGTCTCGTAGGCATAGGTAAATTCATAAATGAGCTGGATAATAATATTTTTAACGCGCACAGACAAGGTGAACGAAGCCTTTACTGCAAAGCGTGAGCTTGTGGCAGGGGAAACAACTTTAGATAAAGAGAACCTGTCGTAAAGTGCTCGATTGACTCCCTTAGATTGCAATTTTCCAATGTCGTCATTATGTTTGCATTGTCAGAGAAGGGTAACCAATCTCTTATCACCAATTATTATTTTGATAATTTTGTAAGGTTAGCTCAGATGGTTTTTCTGTTCTCGCACACAATTTATGGTCATTTTCCCCCTTCTTTCCTTTCTTGGTGATCAAAGTTAAAGAATCATTGTCTTGCTCGTTCTGGTTCCTCGAATCCCGTGCGTGTGTTGATTTGTGGGTATGTGTGTGTGTGTGTGTGTGTGTGTGTGTGTGTGTGTGTGTGTGTGTGTGTGTGTGTGTGTGTGTGTGAGTGTTTGACTATATTCCTCCATCCATTCTTGTATTGTCTACAACTTGCAAATGAGAGCTTTTAACAACTATTAGCAGTTATGGAGTGGAAAAAGTGTGGAAGTTGGATTCATTTTTGGGTGGAGGTGGGGGGGGGGCGGTAGGCAGAATAACCCCCCCCCCCCCCACACACACACACACACACACACAAGTATGTCCTATATATAGAGGCAAAAGAGAAATGTTTTTGCCTGCGCTGTAAGAGAATTGTCACTACTTGTAAATTGAAAAAAATAATGAATATGTTCAGTTATCATTGCTGGGGGCTATTTCTGAGCTTTCTCTAATGAATACTCCTACAATTTTCCTTGAGCATGCAGGTGGACGCACGGTGTTCAATTTTTATAGAATTAACATCTTTGATTAATAACCGCAAACGCCTGAGAGCCTGAAATAGAGTCTCTCCTGGGAGGAGGGGATGGTAAATTGGAATAAATCAGCCTACTAAAGGAAGTAAGAATATAGCAACGTGGATGGTCCACAAGAGAGACTAGACTGTGTGAAAAATGTTCCAACTTTAATCTAGTATGCTTATTTATTATCATGAACATTGTCTGTTTCAGAATCCGGTCCTCTACTGCTTCATGCACAAAAGCTTCCGAGCATTTATTTTAAGGCTGATCAAGTGCCAATGCCGCACTGTACGCCGGATGAAGAGAGGCACTGTAAGTGGTTGTCTTTCGTTCTCGTTTGTAATTAAAAAAGATATATTATATATATATATATATATAGATATATATATATATATATATATATATATATATATATATATATATATATATATATATATATATATATATCTTTAGGTT